GTCCTGCAACGAGCGGCGGCGGCTCGGGACGGGCCGCGCCCGAGCCAGGCGACCGCGGGCGATGGCGGCGGCCAAGGCGTCGGCCGCGACGACGAGGGCATGATGCGCCTCGCCATCCAGGAGGCGCGGAAGGCGATGGCGGCTGGCGAGGTCGCCTGCGCCAGTCTGGCCTCTCGTCTGTCGTCGCCGTCGTGCGTCTCCCGCCGTCGAGCGTCCGGTCGTCGCCCGTCGCCTGGCGTCGTCGTTCTCCTCGCCGTGCGTAGTCGTCGCACCATCATCAGCCTCATCACCACCACCAGAACCATCATCATCATCATCATCATCATCATCATCATCATCATCACCATCATCATCATCATCATCATCATCACCACCACGATCATCATCACCATCATCATCATCATCATCATCATCACCATCATCATCATCATCATCATCTTCATGTCTATCATCAGAATCGTCGTCGTCGTCACCATCACCACCATCTTCACCATCATCATCATCATCACCATCATCACCATCATCATCACCATCATCATCATCATCATCATCACCGTCAGTATCATCATCACCATCATCATCATCGTCATTACCATCATCATCATCACCATCATCTTCATCATCATCGCATGATGTTCGCGAGACTTCCAACCCTTATAGGACATGCTGGTGGAGAAAGCTATACTGTATTCATAACGTGATGAGCAGCAGTGATCTCCTTTGAACATTGTCGGCTATCGGCAATGGTGGGAGTTTTGAATGATATATCTTTATATATATACATACATACATATGCATACATCCAAATATACACGCACACACACATATATATATGTATGTATGTGTGTGTGTATGTATGTATCTATGTATGTATGTATGTATGTATGTATGTATGTATGTATGTATGTACGTACGTACGTAGGTAGGTAGGTAGGTAGGTAGGTAGGTAGGTAGGTAGGTAGGTACGTACGTACGTATGCATGCATGCATGCATGCATGCATGCATGCATGTATGTATGTATGTATGTATGTGTGTATGTATCTGGATACAAATTCATATATATATATATATATACATTTATATACATATATATATATATATATATGTATCGCGATACATGAGGCGCTTGGGGATCAGGTGAGCCGCTCAAAGCTACATATCTGGACGCGTCTCACATTAGGGATGGTCGCGTTGCCGTGTCTGGGGATGGACCACCGTGCGAAACTTGGTCAGATTCCAGGCGGGCCGCGGCCGAGGTCTGCCCCCCCCCCCCCCCCCCCCTACGTGCACATGGCGAGTTCTCGGGCAAGATAACAGTGACGGAACGGCAAAAAACATCTAAGAGTCGGCAGCGCATTGCCGTGCGCCACGGCAGAACTCTTTGCAGAACGTATGGCAGCTAGCACGTCATGCTGGATGGAGCAACCACAGCCTTGTGAGTCTGGGAGTCTTTGATATATCCAAACAAGCTCACCTGTTGGCATTGGCGGGGCTCTTGATACATGCCAAACGTGGTCCGCAACCTGCATCGGCGGATATCTCCTGATATCTTTAATGGTTTTCTACTGGCATGGGTAGAGTCTCTCATTTACTTCAAGCATGGTCTTCCCCTGGCATTGGTGGGTGTCTCTAGGTGTTTTTAAAACTCACCACCCACCAAACCACCCCAACCCAACCCGAAGGCCTCAATTTGCACTCCATTTCCAGTGGGTGGGGGGTCGGGGAACATCGAGAAAACACATATGGAACCCGTACCCCCCCCCACCCGAAATTCGAGTCTTCGGGTTGGGTTGGGGTGGTCTGGTAGGTAGTCAAAAACATGCTCAGCTGCTGGTCTTTGTGTGGGTCTGAAGAAATACTACCTGCGCTCCGCCTTCACAGCGGGACTCGCCCAGTCCCCCCCGCCCCCCCCCACTGCTCGTCGAAGCAACGCCCCCTCCCCGTCATCGTCACAAACATCATCCCATCGTCAGTCGTATCATCATCATCATCATCATCATCATCATCATCATCATCATCATCATCATCATCATCATCATCATCATCATCATCAGTATCATCATCATCATCATCATCATCATCATCATCATCATCATCACCATAGGTGTTTTCATCATCATAGTCGTTGTCATCGTCGCCGGCATCAGCATCATCCCCATCATGGTCATCATCATCATCATCATCATCATCATCATCATCATCATCATCATCATCGTCCTCTCAATCGTTGCGCCTGGAGCGGGCGGCCCCTCATCTTCCTAAGCGTCGTGGGCAGCTGGCTGCGGGGCCTCCTCGGTCTCAGTGGCACGGCTCCGGCAGCGGCGCCAGAAGCGGAACGGAGGTTCTGGGTGCTCTTCGACGCGACGGAGGGGCTGTGGCACGAGCGCGTGTGCCTGTACGTGTGTGATAAGGGGGCGATGATTCGGACGCCAAGCGTCGACCTCTAGGCGGAGTAGTGGTCCGACTACATTGACGTTCTTCTTTCTGGCCCTCAGGGGGGCATTCTGCCCAAGGTATACCCTCGCCAAACGGTATCACTTCAACCCCATGGACCTGACTGTGGGCAGTCCGATGAAGCTAGAAGCTGTCCGTCAGCTGAAGCTCCTGGTGGACTCGGGGGTCTACCCGGGCGGGCTGCTGGTGCAGGCGCAGGCGCGGCTGCAGCCGATGGTGGGCTCTTGCCCGTCGATGCCGATGGCGGCGCCGGCGCTGACGGGGTTGGCGGCGCGCCGAGGCGCTGACGGGGACGGCGGCGCTGGACAGGGCTGGGGGGCGGGGGCCGTGGCACGAGGTGCTAGCTGTTGACGGACACCTTCGGGCAGAAGGTGCACTCTCAGGTAACGGTCGGGCTCGAGGATCAGGTCATCACCGACGGGCGCTTGGGGTTCTTCTTGCGCGATGGTGGGGTCGCTGCCGTGTCCGATCCGTTGCCGCCTATGGTGACTCACGAGAGCATCTTGCGGACCCTGCCTGTCCAGCACAACCCACTCGGCGAACGTCTGAGGTCGCTTGAGAGCGCTCGAGGGATCTTCGTCAAGGAGTTGTCTGGCGACTTTCCGATCCAGGGGACGCGCGCTGCCGGCTGTTTGATGGCGGCTTCTCATCGTGGAGGCCAGAGTTCTGTTGCCCGGGATCATTGGTGGCGCCAGATATTGGTGGCGACGACGGCGGAACCAGGGATAGATGAACCGTTCTTTCTGTCGGAGATGTTCATGCTTGGGCCAGTGCGACCAGTTGAACTTGCCGGGCAGTGCTGCCGATGAGTCGGCGGCTCGGCGGTACCAGCTCTGGGGGCAATGCCGCGCTGACGGGCTGAAGGTAGTGGCGGAGGGCGGCGTTGCAGCTGCCAGCGTGACGGCAGAGCGACGTCTCTCCACAGGGGTTGCCGCTGGGAGAAGCAGTGCGTTGATCTGTCCCGCGCTCGCCCACTTGGCGGCTGACAAGATGGAGCAGGAAAGCAAGATCCCGCAGGAGCGGCGGATGGCCCACGAAGGGCGTGACCTTGCGGCGATGGTCTCATCCTCGCGGCCGCGACCGCCGATGCCTCGCGGCGTTTGGTGGGGACGAGGAGGCGCCGCCGAGGCCGCCGTAAGGCGTGGCGAAAGTGAGCGCCGAGGCCCGGGCTGCGGCGTCGGCGGTGGGGGTGAGCCTGGTCGCCTGCAGTGTCATCTACCCGGCTGCTGCGCGTGTGAGTCCCCGACGCGCGGGCGGGTTTGTGTGGGGGGGCCATTGGCCGCCCATGGCTTTGCAGTCGCACCGAGATCTCCTTCCCGTTCCCAACGCCCCCCCCCCAGCGTCTGTACTCCACGGGTTTTCGGGGGCGCTGGCTGCAGGCAGGGAGTCGAACTTTCAGCCCCAATGGGTGGTGGAGGCATGGGCCGCCCGCGGGCCCTCAGACAGTCTTGCAGGCGCATGCCATGTCGAGGTTTGCTAAGGCTTTCGCATCCCTCCCCTGTCCACTGAGTGATGTCACTTCACTGTTCAGGGCGCTCGCAAAGCCACTCTTGGAACCGGCCCTGGCAACGGCGATTGCTTGGGCAGCTGGGGCCGCGCCCGGTGCCGACGGGGCAAGGTCTCCGTGCCTCGCGTGGCCACGGGAGGACGCGGGCACGCTTGCCGTCGGCTCTCTCCGGCAGAAGGCGGTCGTACTTACGCTAGCTTTCATGTGACCTCCTGTCTCTCGAGATGCTGGATGTTGAGGGGGGGGGCTGCGAAATCAATCGCCCCATTCTTTGTTAGGAAGATGCACGGGCCTTCCCGTCTGCTCTTGGGCACTCGTAATGTCAACGCCTCGTTGGCCCCCCCTGTCTATGCCTCTCTGGCCGCTGCTCAGGTGCTGAATTCGATTGGGGTTCCTACTGGCAGCGCGCTGCGCTGCTCTCAGGGCGATGTGACCTGCTGCTTTTATCACTTCCTCCTACCATGGAGCCTCGGGCGTTGGTTAGGACTGCCGCCCGTGCACTTGTCCGACCTTCCCGCGCGGGCAGGGCGCGACGTGGGCCCGGCCGACCCTTCGGGGCTGGTCTGGTTCAGGCTCCGCGTCGCGCCTGGCGGGATGGCCACGGGCTTCGCCCAGTCTGCAATGGGGGGCCCCTTCTTAGCCTTTTTAGATGGCCCCTGTTCGCCTGGCGCAGGCCCTTGGGCCCTCTCTCGCGCGACTCGGCCGCGAGCGTGCTTTTCGTTGATAATTTCGCGTCTCTTTCTGGGGGTCTCGCCGCCGTTGTGTCCGCGGTGAAACAGGCTGGCCTCGACGCTCGCGCGGAGCCCGCCGGGCCCCCCCTTCGGGGCTACTGTTCGGGTCGGTCTGGGTCGCCCTCGGTACCTTCCGAAGCTGAGTTCTTGAATGCGGCGTTGGCTTTGAAGGCGGTTTCCCAGGGGCGGTTTGGCAGAGCTGGTCGTGAGTTGGCTCGCCTGCTAGGCCGCGTTTCAGAATCCTTTCTTTTTCGGCCCGAGCTCCTCGATTTTCCAGCTGTCTGTGCGAACGGCGCTAGGTTCGGGGGCCGACCTGTACGGGTCGGGGGTTCAATGCGTCTCGAGTGCTGGCTGGCGTGGTCGCTTCTCCCAGTCGCGGTGGCCAGCCGTCGAGCCCGGTCGGCGGCGCCGCGCGGGCGGCCGCGCTGCGGGCGGAAAGCTGCTGCGGCGCGACCCC